TCACTTTATGTGCATGTATCACTTTATGTGCATGTATCACTTTATGTGCATGTATCACTTTATGTGCATGTATCACTTTATGTGCATGTATCACTTTATGTGCATGTATCACTTTATGTGCATGTATCACTTTATGTGCATGTATCACTTTATGTGCATGTATCACTTTATGTGCATGTATCACTTTATGTGCATGTATCACTTTATGTGCATGTATCACTTTATGTGCATGTATCACTTTATGTGCATGTATCACTTTATGTGGATGGATCACTTTATGTGCATGTATCACTTTATGTGCATGTATCACTTTATGTGGATGGATCACTTTATGTGCATGTATCACTTTATGTGGATGGATCACTTTATGTGGATGGATTACTTTATGTGCATGTATCACTTTATGTGCATGTATCACTTTATGTGGATGGATCACTTTATGTGCATGTATCACTTTATGTGGATGGATCACTTTATGTGGATGGATCACTTTATGTGGATGGATCACTTTATGTGCATGTATCACTTTATGTGGATGGATCACTTTATGTGCATGTATCACTTTATGTGCATGTATCACTTTATGTGCATGTATCACTTTATGTGCATGTATCACTTTATGTGGATGGATCACTTTATGTGGATGGATCACTTTATGTGGATGGATCACTTTATGTGGATGGATCACTTTATGTGGATGGATCACTTTATGTGGATGGATCACTTTATGTGCATGTATCACTTTATGTGCATGTATCACTTTATGTGGATGGATCACTTTATGTGGATGGATCACTTTATGTGGATGGATCACTTTATGTGGATGGATCACTTTATGTGGATGGATCACTTTATGTGGATGGATTACTTTGGTATGAACATAACACTTCACGTTTAATGTATCACTAATGTGTTTTTTGTTTTGTTTTTTTTTATTCACATTCACTTTGACATCAACGTTTCTTCTCATCGCCAACCTCCAGGGTGACTACGACATTGACAACTACCCGCTAAAACTCGACCTGCCGTACGGTGCCGTGGGGACCTACAGGAGCACCATCAACTTCTCCCAGAACGAACGGCCCCTGGGCTGCTACATCCTGACATACACGATCATGTACGCGGACTGATGACGGTGTGTGGGCAGAAGAGGGAGAGGGTGGGGGGCAGGAAATGACGTACCGGATCATCGTGATGACGGTCAACGAAAGCGACCTCGGCAGAACCACCATCAATTAGATATCAGTTACCGGAAGAAAAAAAAATTGTACACTGGAATGTTGTTCGAATAGAACTTTGTCCGAATTGAAATTTCTCGGGCGCAGATCTTTCTTTTCGTTGTAGTGTTCTTTTTAAAAGAACGTGCCAAGTGTTGGGGGGGGGGGGCGGCTTAAAATTATTTGATTTTTGTGTTTTTGGTTTCATTTCTTCCGTTCGAGTTAACGTCTCTTCAAACAAAGTTCCTAGTGGATATCTCTCTCCCCTCCCCTTTATTCAACTATTTTTTTGCCGTTGATGCCGATGTTGTAAGAAACATTCATGTACCCCGGTCTGTCTGACTGACTGACTGACTGACGTATGCACCGATGATAATAAAGGAAATACACTAAAGCCTCTACGCTTTTTATTGGTGTTATTGTGGAAGTTATTGGGGGGTTTTTATATCAAATTGTGCATGCTAAATTAATGCAACGCAACTTTTGCATGCTGTAAAAACCTCCACAAGATGTTATTCCCTCCCTTCTAAACAAACATTACAGATTTAATAAGGGGAGATAACTATTTAACATAAGCAAAATGTGATCTTGCGGTCAATATGTTGTAGTATAGAACTAGAAGACTCCATGTCATGTTGTAGTATAGAACTAGAGGACTCCATGTCATGTTGTAGTATAGAACTAGAAGACTCCATGTCATGTTGTAGTATAGAACTAGAAGACTCCATGTCATGTTGTAGTATAGAACTAGAAGACTCCATGTCATGTTGTAGTATAGAACTAGAAGACTCCACTGCCAATATGTTATATTATGGAACTAGAACACTCCATGCCATGTTATAGAATAGAACTAGAAGACTCCATGCCATGTTATAGTATAGAACTAGAAGACTCCACTTCCAATATGTTATATTATGGAACTAGAAGACTCCATGCCATGTTATAGTATAGAACTAGAAGACTCCACTGCCAATATGTTATGTTATGGAACTGGAAGACTCCATGCCATGTTATAGTATAGATCTAGAAGACTCCATGCCATGTTGTAGTATAGAACTAAAAGACTCCACTGCCAAGACTCCACTGCCAACATGTTACATCAGGGCTGCACAACATACAACCCGCCAGCACCCACTTGGCGGCCCGCGAAGAAATGAAATAATCTTTTTTTATTTTTACGTTCTTAATAGCCTTCGCCCCTGTCCTATTATCTTTACGGCCCGCACATGTTTTTCATAAAGTTTGAGTTGTGCAGGCCTGTGTTTGTAGAGTAATTCAATTTTAATTCACCGCAATAATTAGTATTATTCACGTTGAATAAAAACCTTTAATTCAACGCAAACATTATTTCACATTTCCATTAAAACACTTCCAATAAAACAAATGTTCTTTTGCATTTAAACATATGTACGTCTTGTAAAGACCTCCGCTACTGTGGTGGCCCAATTTGAACAATATCGTCTAGAAGAATGGCGTTGAATACATTCAAACCATTTGCTTTAACACGTCGACGCAAAATGAACCCACACATACAAGAATCGAGCATATGTCTGTGTGTGCCACTGTTTCTCTCTTTTGCCAATGTCCATGTATGTGCGATGCGTTGAGTATTGGCGTTCCATTAACTTTGTGGTTGTTAGCACATCGTCTGACAGCATGTATAACACCGTGTTGTTGTAGAAACAAGATACAACTGACTTCATTGTGAACTAATGCAGACATTGTCCAAGAATTCACGGTGTCTACAGAAGCAGTTGTATTTATTAAACCGGATATAACTGCATATACATAGAATAGCAGTAATGATAATTTTTGCGCTGAATTAAAATTGAAGTACCGTTTATAGTATAGAACTAGAGGACTCCATGACCAACATGTACTAGTATAAAACTAGAGGACTCCATGACCAACATGTACTAGTATAAAACTAGAGGACTTCATGGCCAACATGTAATAGTATAGAACTAGAGGACTCCATGGCCAACATGTACTACTATAAAACTAGAGGACTCCATGGCCAACATGTAATAGTATAGAACTAGAGGACTCCATGGCCAACATGTACTACTACAAAACTAGAGGACTCCATGGCCAACATGTACTAGTATAAAACTAGAGGACTCCATGACCAACATGTAATAGTATAAAACTAGAGGACTCCATGGCCAACATGTACTAGTATAAAACTAGAGGACTCCATGGCCAACATGTAATAGTATAGAACTAGAGGACTCCATGGCCAACATGTACTAGTATAAAACTAGAGGACTCCATGGCCAACATGTAATAGTATAGAACTAGAGGACTCCATGGCCAACATGTACTACTATAAAACTAGAGGACTCCATGGCCAACATGTAATAGTATAGAACTAGAAGACTCCAAAGAAGCATTTAGGAAAAAGAAACTTAAATGCTGAAATAGATGATGTGAAGAATTCATTTCTTACAAAACTCTATTACCGTAAGTGTGATGTGGCAACCTCAAGTTATTAGAATTAGAAGGAAAGAAATCTAAAGTCCAACGTTTTTATTTTTAGTGAATAAAAATCATCGAATTCATCATAAATCATGATTGCTTTATGATCCAGCAAAAGGTGAATGAGTCATGTCAAAATAAAGATGTTCTTCAATAAACGAATAAGCCATCATTTCCTCCCCACAGGCAATCATCTCATTCTAATCCAGCCAAGAGCTCATCAAATATGCGGATAATGTGGATAATCTCATTCCGGTGCACACTTCACATTGAACATTTACATATGCTATACAAAATGTTATGGTAATATCCCTACCAGTCAGCGAACAATAATCACAACATCAGTATTCATGAATAATTATATCCTAAACATAGTTTGAAGATACTAAAAAAAAAGAAGGGGGGGGGGGGGGTTTGGGAGGGTTGTTCCACTGTGAACTGCATTTCAGTATGTTTAACATTTTTAAATTGTGGATGTCCTCTATGGCTGATATATTTCCGAAATAATTAAAATCTTGCACAAACCATTAAGAATTTCTAAAGCTTCATAAGGGACACTACTCTAAATATGTATTTGTTATTTATCAACAATGATAAACATCAGACTTAACAAGAAATTTAAATCTAGTTATTCGTTTTTATTATTATGCTTCATGATTATTCACACTGGATAATCATGTATGAAGACATGAAGGCAACTGGGAGGAGGGGGTAAGCCACATACAGCCAAGAAGGGAAGTGCACACTTAAGATAAAAACTTTCAATAACTTATAGCATGAGGCTAAACATTTTTAAAAAAAAAAACAATTTCTTATAAGTGGAACAGTTTATTATTAAAGCAAAGAGAATAAATTAAAAAAACAAATTATAGTCACACATAAATTGCAAAGTATCACATATAAATTGGGATTTAAAACAGAGAAATCAATAAATCCTCTTGAAAATAATGTACGTATATTACATCCAGCATGGCAGGTGAAGTGAGGCCTTCAACCTATTGCATTGTGCGCATGCTTGGAAATAATTGCCAAGGTTCGGAAGGCAAAATGCACCATTCAAATTATTTCAGCACATAATAAGCTGCTTTCACTAAATCATAATTAAAAATATGAATATCACTTTGCACAAGTTCACCACATTGCAAGCTTTCAGTCTGCTAATCACAATATCTTAATTACATACAATAAACTTTAAATTTTAAAAAATGCTGTCTGACAGAACAAAAATGAATGAAAATGTCAATATTTTAACAAATATTTGTATTCTAATTTTTAAATTTTTAAAGGAACTTTTTATTTCTCAAAGGGTAAGAAATATACTTTTGCATTAGTAATTTTATGCATACTGGTATTATTTTTTAAATTTCTCATAAACTTTTAAATTTGTATCCAAAATATACATTGTGGTATATTTAGACTAACCAAAATATGTTGAAAATATGCACAACTAAAAGTTGAAAACAGTTTCGATTATATGTATCTTGTAAATGTATTTGAAAACACACAGTAACAATGTAATTCAAACGTGAAAGAAATAGTTTCTAATGTGTGCTTTTCTGATCACAGTAAACCTCAACAACAGCAAACTGTGTAGCTAAAACTTATTAGAATCTATTTTTGAGTAGCATGTGGAGAAACTAGGTGTGAGTACTTCTATTGTTCTACATCTACTCAATATTTTTACATGGAACTATTATTTAAATTAAAAGAAAAAAATGAAACTAATACTAATAGCATCAATCTCTAAATAACGTTTGAGTGTCCGCAACTATGAAGACTTGTAATATCACCCAATGACAATGAAGCAGACTAGAAATTATTCTCTAGCCTGAGGAGATTAAAGACCAGACTAGAGAGATTAAGGACCAGACTAGAAATGATTCTCTAGCTCAAGTAGATTAACGACCAGACTAAAAATGATTTTCTAGTCCAATGAGATTTAATCTAAGAAGGTATTCTGATAAAAAACAGTGAATTGTTTCCCTTGTCCTTTTCCACACTGAAACTGTCACAGGTATAAATCTTACAAACTGCCACCTAGTTGAAGAAAGAAATGGAGTTTTTCCAGTCAAAATTAATTATTCTTAAATTTCTAGCGTTTCTAAACATTTTTTGTTGTGGTTTACTTGAATGTTCATTATTTGACCACCTTGGTGGCAACTTTGCCTGATATTAACATTTAACTGCCCTTTTATGAATTAAAAAAATCCTTTTTCAAAATTTTCGTGACCCCCACGAAATATGCTGAGACACACTGATATATACTATGATACACAAATAATTTCAAATCTTTTTACAAGTATGCTGCATAGTTTTAAAAGAATTCTTAGCAATCTCTTACAGATAAAATTATTCAGGCATAAATAAATGTTTAACTTTTTCACCATCATGTTTGAACTGGTTAGATAACTTTATAATTTTAGTTTGGGACAGGTAAGCGAAGTCTACTCATTATCAACAAGGGACAAAAAGGGAGAGTCTATCCTCAATTTGTAATCAAAGTCTACTTATTATAAACAAGGGACAAAAAGGGAGAGCCTATTTTCAAACAATTTAGTGTCAGACAACATAAACCTAAACAAAAAATAAGAATAAGAGCTTTAATTCTTCTCTGTAAAATATATTTCTCCACTTGGACCCAAGCAAAGTGAAACAAACAAAGTTACAGCAAATAAAAACAGACTGAACCTTACTGAAATGTTGAGTCTGAAGTAAATGCTCCTGCCAGTCTGTTTTCCCCTTCCCCCAGTATACAGTACATTCTTTGAGGCAACACTTTGGAATAAGGTGCAGGGCGGGGGACCATGGCTCTAAGAATGTACTCCCTGCTGCTGGGAGCTGGAAAGTCTGAACATGAGGAGGACGAACGAACATCAGAAGAAGGGGAAGGAAGGTTTTGAATGGTTCTTTTCAAGTGGTTTATCCTGTCTTGGTGTGAGATGGGGTTTGTCTTGTCTGCCAGCTCGTCAACTGTCTCTTCATCATCCAGTATCATGTTACTGGCTCTCTGCGCAGCAATGAACATCTTATGTATGTTGGCGCCCGCCGGACCACAGGCACCCCCTTTTACCAGAACTTCTCCCTGACTAAGCAGAGCTGTAACAAAACTTTCAATCTCTTCCTCTTTTCCTTCCTGCTCTGGGGTTGATAAGGGATCGTTGGTGAACTTTGATCTCAATGAAGTTGTTCTAGCCGTAACACTTTCAGCAATTTCAAGCTGACGCAGGAGATCAAAATATTTTTTTTTATCCAGGGGGAAATTTCTGGTCACTTTTGCAGCATTGGCTATGACCTTGTCAATTATATTTTTAACATTGGGCACACGAGCCTCAACGGCCTCATTGATGAGTTTGGCAATGGCCGCGTGGACGACGCAAGGCATCAGGTGGAGAACGACTTCGGCTGGCTTCATGGAGGCCAAGTAATGCAAGACTTTCTCTGCTTCTTTGGTGTCATCAAACAACCTCTTCTGCCGTCTGGCCGGCACAGGTTTTGCACTCTGCCACGCCTCAACCCACATGTTGCCTGGAATCTGCATCCTCTGGCTTAAGTGACCTCGTCTGGCAACACAAGACCCAGCATTTTGCTCCACATCACTACTGTCACCCACCATTTCATCATTGGTCTGTCCGTCCTCACTGTCAATGACATAATCTCTAGGAGAGTACCACCTCACAAAATCCTCCAGGAAGCAGCCCGGGTTGGCGGCTTTGAAAGACTCCATATCCGAAACAAGACAGGCACTCTGCATCCGAGCTCGGATCTGAGAACCCTCAGCGGAGGAGCCAAGTTTGGCCAAAACTTCGGCATGCTCCTCCAACATGTCCTCCGTCATAGGGGATGGCTCTTGAGTGACAGGAATAAAAAGTTGCTCCCCAGTAGACAGTAGGAAAACATTTTTCATTGCCACAAGTCTGCCTTCAGGCCGGTGGGTGAAAGAATCTAAAAACACACTTTTCTCACTTGAGTTTTCGCTGGCGGATTTCTTTGCACCTCTTGTATGCTTGTCATTATCTTGACCTTCCGGTTTAACCCCAGTGACCTCAAGGCTGTTAGATGTTACAAACTCATCTCCATTTCTCTTTTCCCCTGCATCAACATCATCTTCCCCACCACCAGCCCCCTCCCCCTCATCATTTTCATGGCATTCGAAAAACTCCTCGTCATCATCACTAGAGTTAAGGAGGGAGGCAGTCTTGCTCAGCCTTTTCATTTCTTTAGCACTTAAACCATCTGGTAGGTCTTTCATATCTTCCAAAGACTGATCATAAATGTTCTGAGAGTCTGGACCATATCCGTAACCAACAGACTCGCGTTTTATCTTGCACTCGATGCAACAATTCAGCATTTGAAGTTTTTGATGCAAAAGGCATGAGCCCATATTTGGGGTTCCTTTCTCTATCCCACTTATAAGGTGCTTATTTTCCCAGCGAAATCTCATTTCCAGGATAAACTCTTGCCATAGGTGGGCCACACCCAAGAGTCCCCCAAAGTTTTTATTGACATTGCACAGTGCCAGGCTCAGTTTATGGGTCAGACTTTCTATGGGCGCAGACTTTAATTGCTTGTTGAGTTCAGCTAGAGCATCGGCTATTTTCTCTTCATCAGGCTTTCTCTCTTCATCTGTGGCATGTTCAGAGGCAGAGGATGTGAGAGACTCTGAGGCAGTTGACACAATAGACTCTTTACGTTTGTTCTTGGTGGGCAATCTCCCTCCGCTGTGGCTCCTGGGAACTCTTGCATCTGGGAAAAGGAAGTACAAAATTTTATCCAATATTGCTTCAGGAATTGGTGCTTCCTCAGGCTTTAACTTGATTCTTGATGAGGCTGATGACATCACGTTGCCCAGGGATGGTATCGACGATAGGGCCGGCACCGGCTCTGTGAGTCTCTGCAAGGCATGTGAGATTTCTGCGTTCTTGTCACCATCGTTTTCTGCGCTGACCTTCTTTAAAACTTCATCTGTGCTTTCCAAGCGGTCACACAGTTTGAGGAAATCCCTAAGGAACTCGCCAAGAAGGCAGCTCAGGTCATCCGCCATTTGCAAGCTCACAGTCCACTGTGGAGCCTGAAGTGGGTCCAAATCAGAGTACAGGCTGTTTTCTACAATCATGTCTTCTGAAAGGCAGGGCCAAGTGCACGAGAGGTGGAGCTCGCTGATCGGATCGGAGCACGCACCAAAGGGGAGAATGTTTATATCACCATAACCCACTTCACCATCACAGATGGAAGTGAAGTCAGGGGGCATCTGAGGCCATGCAGAGTGAAACCAGTCTTTAAGGATGTAAGTGAACCTGACAGACACAGACACTGGGGGCATGGAGATGTAGACGCAGCCCAGTTTGGATTTGAACACGTCCAGGAGTCCCGCTAGATGGCAGAACTGGGAGGGCAATCGGCGCAGGTGAGACATTTCAAATTCTATACTTGCCCCACGCACTAAGGATGTGCCCGTAAACAGTTTCCTCCATTTCTGCTGAAGTTGTATGAAAACAGGAATGCTGCAGTTCGAGTTCCCAAACGCTATAGAGGCAGAACTCAGCAGCAACTTGGTCTTGCTCTCACCTTCAATCAATTGCTTTTCACTGACTGGTGTCAGGGTAAAAAATTCTTGCAGTCCATACCAACGGCACAAAAAATGAGAACGAGATGGGAAATCATTTTCAAAGTTCATAAGATCAAAAAATACAGTGGGTGTTTTATGATCCTCATCCAATTCCTCAACTTCTTCTTTCTTAGAGTTGACATTTGATGCAGTTACTTCATTAATCTTCAGAAAATAGTATGTGAATGTAAACCGGAAATCAGCAAAGACGACTTCCTCTGTTCTCTCCGCCCATGTACCTGTTGCATACAAATCTTTCATAGCCGGGGCTCGAGGTTCATGATTCACAAGTTTCCACTCATGGAGAATTTCTTCTAAACGGGCTATAAACCTCTCCCAGTCGGAGGCTGTTGTGAAATCAGTAATTTCAAATACATCTGCCTCATCTTCAATTGTTGAAATCCTTTTTGAAGACATGAGTCTTTTTTCTTTTTCAACAGCGGTGCTCATTGTGAAATAATTCAGCTTTTCATTTAAAACATCTGAAAAAAATCAAATTGTATTTATTATGTTTCAACTAAAATAATGGGCTAAAAATAAAATGTCATGGGAACCACATACTAAGACTAGTTGCACTTTTCAAGTTTAATTAGAATGGGAGAGATCCCAGACACTGAGGTACTTGCACAACAAGGTCTCCCCAGCACACACAACTTATTAATGCAGTCCCAGTTTCACTGGGTGGGCCATGTTGCGAGAATGTCAGACGACCACTTGCCCAAAAAAATATTTTATGGATAAATTAAGCAAGGCAGGCGGTTTGCTGGTGCACGGATGAAACTTTTTAAGACATAATGAAAGCATCTTTGAAAGCTTTTCACATTGACCCTGACATGTGGGAACAGTCCTCAAAGGATCAAGATTCGTGCCACTCCGCCCTACACAAGAGCTCAATGCAACAAGGCTAACAGAACAGCTGTGGCAGAAGACAAAAGACAAGCTAAAAAAGCCTGAAATAACTCTGTACCTTGAGTTTTCCCATCCATCGCCTGCAACAGAACATTTGATGCCAGAATTGGCCTGTTAAGTCATCTGCGCAACCACAGACAGATTAAGCCCCAGCAACAGGCCGATCTTTAAAATGGTCATGATGGATTTTTGACTGACAATCAACCATAACAATGTCATCTAGCTACTTGGTGTGTTGTGCTACCAGCTACTTGGTGTGTTGTGCTACTAGCTACTTGGTGTGCATGCTACTAACTACTTGGTTTGTTGTGCTATTCATGAATGTGCAGCATTTAAAAAAATTAATTAAACATTTGGTATTGTATAAAATTATGAGTTCCTTTCCACAATCTTCAAAATCTTAGGCTTGTTATCTAACAACTATTTATACTAAAAATAAACAAGGACATTTTATTTTTTCACTGTTGACTTTAACAATGCTAACAGTACACATGAGATGAGTGACTAACAAGACATAAGATAAGTAGACTGTGATGAATTTTTAAATGATTTTTGACAAAGGATTTCACTTTGTTTTCAAAGTAGAAACAAGATGGTGGATATGGCCAGGTTTTTTATTTTCTAAAACAAAAATTTGTCTTCAATATATTCTAGTGGTTTTGAAAATTTTTCTAATTGTGGCAATCTAAATAAAATAGTTTATCACTGTGTCATCCCTTTAACCTTTTCTTATGCAATACATATATTTAAAAATAATAGTTGAAAAGCAAGATCACAAAAGCACTTTCTAGTTTGAAAAAGGCGGTCTGAAACAAACCCAATATCAGAGACTGAACCAAGCTACCAGGCATATGTAAGCATACTCTCATATAGCAATGAGGTGCTCACACCTTGTCAAGCAGAGACGCAACAGTTTCCCCCTGACATGCCTGCAGCATGTTTTGTGGCAATGAGCCATGTCCAACACTCAATTACTGGAACATAACAACATCTGCATGTTCCCCATTCACTGGTACAGGGGCTTCTAGATAATGGACCCAGGCCTAATTCTTTAGGACATGTTGCAAGGCGAGCTGGCAGAGTGCACACAATATACTGGAAAGAAAACATCTGTGCAGCAATGATGTGTCTAAGAAATATATAAAAGCGGACAGAATTAACATGAGTAACTAGGAGGGCAGGTGCTCTGTTGCCAAACGGTAGTTAAACAAGCTGATTTGGCGCACAATGCTAGCTTTGATGAAGGGTGAGTCAGCAACATTGATCAAAAGCAGCTTTTGACATTTAATTTACTGCTTTTCCAGGATCTGACTGTTCCAGAGAAGCAGTAATGAAGCTTCCCTCTTGGCATTATCTTTCAAACACAGAAAATGTTGATAGTTTATCATAAATTTTAAATATAAAGTTGCCGGCCTCATGCACTTGATCAGAGAATTGTCCAGTAAAACTTGTACTTTATTTATGTTATAGTCTTTATATAGCAATTAGTGAATCCTTACAGGCATATTTAATGCCTTTTTTCAAAATTAATTGCAATTAATTAACTGTAAATTTCTCTGTATGAATACTCTATTGGTCAATGTCACCCCAAAGTAAACACCAAGGACCGGGTTAATATTTATCTCAGGTATTTTTTTTAAATTGCAGTTCAGGTAATATTTACTATTAACATTCAGTATGATTATGAGTGAAAGCTCTTTTAATTAAAATAATTAAGGATAAACCTAATCCTAGTGAGATATTTTTGTTTTAATTGAGCCTGGAGTTGGAGTGAAGGGTTTAGTTCAATCAAACTCAAATTCAAAAGTATCACCGTAGTAGTGGTCTCATTAGGTACTTGAATAAATAATTTTTTATACTTACAAATCATTGCAGAGTTACATGCCCCTGGTTCAAATTTTTATCCATTTTAAAATGTAAAAAAACATTGCATGATACGCGTAAGGAAAGAAAAAAAGAGGTTTGCTGTCAATTTTTTGTTAAATAGTTTGTGTATTATATGATTTAAAATAGAATTAAATGCTGAACAATATTGTGTTTTCCAATTTTTTATCAAGAATTTTTTTTTTTGGTAAAAAAATATGTCAAGTTGAATTTAGCTGTCTAATATTTTTCTTGTACATGCTCCACCAGTCGTGATTTTCATGATAACCATCCAAAATTATCTACAAGAAAGGGCAAATAAATTTTACCTCCACCCTACCCCAACAATTTTATTAACGAAGTGATTATTCACAGAGCTGTGCGGATAACGCTCGCCGTTATTCACAGATTTCGGTCTGCCGATAACGCTAAGTTATTCACAGAATGTGATAAATTAATTAATGAATATAAAGTACAAAGTTCGAAATAAACATCTCCTCGGTAGAGTAGTGGTCAGTATCTCCGACCGTCACCCAGCAGACATAGGTTCGATTCCCCGTCGGGGAAGCCTCATTTTTATAAATAAAATTTAAAAACAAAATATTTAATGGTTATTTCGTAGTGTTATATTATAATAATATTCTCCCTATAGCTTTCTTTTTCTGTTCATATAGTTTTGTTACTTATGTTACAAGTTTCAATCTATTTTGTTAGAATGTTCATTCAAGTTTCGTTAAAAAAATTTAAACAACATGGACATGCAATATGCAGATCAGCCGCATAAACCATGTTTAAATCAGATACAGCTGTTCTAACTGTACATTGTGATATACTTTTAGCTCTTTTGACTGTCTAATTTTCTTTGTATAATTCCACTCATAGACTTTAACATCCATTTGTTTTTTCTCTAATAAACAAATACTTATTAATAACTTACTTATTCAAATATTTTAGATCACAGAGTTGTGTATTAATGTTTAGCTGAAAAAATATGTCACGTTTTATTTGTTTCATTTTATTTTCTAATAAGTATCATAATAAGTAGGGACACAATATGCCGCTCCAGAAATAGTTGAAATAACACTTA